TATAGAGTTTAGTAAAAGTTATTAAAATGCCTTGATTTAAATGATTGTATTGTATCATATCAGTTGTGGTTAATTATAGTTTTGGTAATAACTTTTTTTTGTTTGAACATAGGTTCATGTAAATAAGTAATTAATTATTATTTTTACTATAATAAATTAAATATACTATATAAATATATAAATAAGAAAATATATATGTACTTTTTTTTATTTATATTGATTTACTATAATTTTTATGAGTAATTACCATTTTAATAATTTTGTTTTTTTAATTTATTATTTATATAATAAATATATAAATTTTGGTGAATATTTTTTTTTATATTAAATATTATTGTGTAAACCCATCCAAGTCAAAAAAAAATTTACGAACCACTAGTTTTATGCATAGTTGTTCTTAATAAAATTGCATTTTATTATGTTTCATTATTTAAACCTTAAAAGAGAGAAGGAAATAAAATAATACAGTTTAATATAGGCGATAGATTTTGGCTATACATTATACGATAAAATTATAAATGACAAAACAATGAATCATCAAATGTATTGGTAAGAATATGTATGACGTGGAACTTCAATGAACGATACAACTTTTTGGAAAAAACGTAATGATCAATTACAGATCGAAAAATCTTTAATACCTTTAGGCAATGACATTTCGTTTATTTCCAACAAGATATTAATTGAAACTCCCAATCCTATAACGATAAATAGACCTATCAGGCCATTATGTTTAGAAAACCTCCTCAGTCTCCAAGTGATTACAAATAATGTAATTATATTCACCAAAAATAATATTAAATATGAAAGTTATACTTATAATAGCAAATTGAGTACTATAGTAAAATAATTATTTTATTTAAGGAAACAGATGTTGTATATGAAGATGCCGTTTACAGCGCGACAATAATTGTAACCATAAGTATTTCATAATCAAAACATATCATATTACGGTCGGTGGGCACTGTCCATTATTGTTGGTTTCATAGAAAATATTTATGTATACCTTCACCCCCACTTTTACTATTATCAATGAAGGACTATTTAATACGTTTGCGTTATTATTCATGTAAATGATACTTAACAAAAACGATATAATTAACAAAGTGGTTTTCTCATCAATTGTAAAACAAAATATATAATAAATTAAATTAATAATGTAAAATTAGAAATTACAAAATATGTGGGAAAATTTTAGATATCTGACACCAAAAAAAAAATTTAATTTTTAACCGAATACTTACAATCATTTATTCCATATCTCTTATCCAAAATATCTATTTAGGATAACGATGATTAGTAATTTCTAATATTTAAATTTCGCATATTGTTAGCCGCCAAATTTGTTAGGATCATTAGAATTAGTAACGGCAATTATAGTAATGGGCATAATAGTTATATTACAAAAAGATGTAGAAGATAGTTGTCCTAATAAATGCTAAATGTGTCCTATGGCATTTTTAGAGTCTTAATGTAGTCTTAAAATTTTTCCAACGAATTTCAACAATTATCTGTGAACAATATTTCTACAAGTTCCGTTTTATAATGATAGCATTTTTTTTTAAGGGAAACATGATAGGGAATGTAATTTAGGGAGATCTTTTATTGATTTTCTCTGAAGTTTCAACGTGATATACCGATAATTTATAGTTAAATATCGACAAAGTAAATATTCCAGTATGTTTAAAATATCTTTTGACAGTTAAAATTCCAAAGCTTTTACTTAAAAAGATCTAAATCCTTAAAGGGTTTAAATCTTGACAGGATTGTAATGTTATGCTCACATAACATAATGTTATAACTGTATAATTATTTATTATTTATATCATTACAAAAATGTAACTAAAAGATTCAAATATGGTCGAGTACTTTCACAAAAGGTAAATAATTTAATAAATCTAACAGATCGCTCGCTATGCGAGAGGGATGCAAGCTTATTTACAAGTAAAATATCTTAAATGTGTCAATTATAACAGTTCTGCATGCCAACTGTTGCGGTTTTTCGAGGACACTGCCGCCTCAGTCATACTATTGTATATTGTCTTCTTTTCACAATTCGAGTATTTATCATTTTATATCGTCATTGACACGATTGCCGTCTGTTCCATCTTTTTAAGCATACAAATTCCAGTGGTTTTCTATCATTCGAGAAATATCAACATCCAATCAATTACCTTCATTTAGAACATTCAAATATAAGTGAAATAAAATTAAGCAATAGATACACAACATCAATCGGCCCTTTGATGATACCGCCGTGCCGTCATCATTCTTTCGCACTATATATCATTACAATTATTTCAACACAAATTTCAAATCAACGCATAACACTATTTTTTTTATGTTTGACCTCTTTTNTCACTTAGTAATTTAACCTTTTATTTTCCTAATTTAAAAAATTAGCATTTTTTATCTGAGTGCACACGGGTGTTAAGTTTTAATTAATTTAATTAATTTATCTTAATTAAATTGTGATTGCCGTCCAACGACTGCAGGTTCACGTGAGGATATCCATAGGTATACACCCTAGCGTTCTAACAACGTGAGCAGGTAATATAATTATATTTATCTTTAGTTATTGATTTTGTCACCATTCTCGGATTCACGACTCCAAAACCCTTTTAAACATAGGAAGGAAGGTAGTAATATAACTAGTAGGCTGAACTTTTATTATGATTAAAGATAAATCACTCTTTGTAGTACCACTCCTTTAAATTTCATTCTTTGTAGGTGATTATCCTATAATTTCAAATATATTTGTCTTTTATTTCTATACTTAGTGTCCTTAGACTACTACTATCACCTTAACCATGACTCTCTTTTTTATTTTACCCCATTTAAACCAGGTTTAACTCCTCTTATTTGCCCCCCCTTTTTTTATTTTTCCTATTTTTTGTAATACTACAGGATATAAATTTCCTTATGATCTTAATCCATATTTCATTCTACAAAGATATTTAAAAGATGTCTGAAATGAAGTCTATAAGTTTAATCGTGGGATATGACCACTAATCAAAGGACGTAAAAGTTATTGTATGTTCACGTAATCGACAATGCAATTCAATGCGAATCTTCAAAATTAAGTGTAATTCGGTGGAATTGTTTTTTTGTAATCTTTAAACAGTTGGTTTAACTAACTATTCATTAAGAATTCCAACTCTAAGTTATGATTTTATACTTATTCTAAATAAAGAATTAACATAATAATTTAAACATAATACTTACTAATATTTACTAGAACAAAAAAGAACTTTTTTTTATTACCAGATCAATATAGGCTATCAGAAGCAATATAAATGATAAAGAAGATAAACGTAAAATGAAAAAAAAAAAAAGACTAAAAAAGATGTGAGAGGTTAAGAGAATTGTAGAACTGCCAGTGAATGCAAGAGACTTGAGAGATCTGATTCGATCTGGTCAATTGATTCATTGACGAGAATGAGTTATGATGAGAAAGGCCAACACCAAATATTTAGGATGAAGGTAAAGGAGAAGTTGAAGAAAAAACTACACAAATCGTACAGTAATATAATTTCAACTAAATAAAATAAAATATTTATATATTTTAGATATTAGTATTATGGTATAGTTATTATTATAACTTCCCTGAATTATTAATCCATATTTCACACATAATAATAACTACAGTTATATTATTACAATCATTACAATCCACTTTGAGAGACAGAAGTAATAATTATTTTACCCATCATTTGCAATGTTCCATTATAGGATAACCAATGAAATTTTTAGAACAGGTTACTTTGAATAGACTGTTTTTTGATTTTCTCATGAGTTTTCTCATCAAATTTTAATAACCAAATAAAAAACGGGATATGAAAAGAAATTTAACAATTATTCAAAATTTATGTTTTAGATTTATAAACAACTTTTTTACCATTTGACTAGAAATTGGATTTCTAAGTGTAGCAATTTTTATAAAAGAAACTCAGTATGGGGAACGAGTATTAATGAACTCAAATTTTATATTAGAAAATTGGAAAACCGTAAGAAAAACAAGAAAATGAGTAAATTAAAAATATTTTATTAAAGATAATATGTAATGCCCAGTTATTTAATTTATCACAATATGCCATATTATATATTGTTTACAAATCATCACTATTAATTGAACTCCGTTTAGAATTAGTTTTTCGTTAGAAATAGTTTAACGTTCCTTACAGGTATATATTAAATTACATATAACAGTAGCTGCACCTGAACATGTTATTATTTTATTGTACTCATATTAATCATAAAACTACTAAAAATATTTAAAAATTTACTTACTAGGTACAGCTAGAATAAGAAATTTAAAACTAATTTAGAAAGAAAATGATGTGATAATGACTCAATACTTAATACATGATTATATTATAAAGGTTTTTATGCACGATTACACCATTTTAATTTTTTAAACAAAATACGTACCATCATTTCCTAGAAAGAAAAACAAAATCATTTATTAAATATCAGATAAATTTGGTCTTGTTATCGACAGACATAAAAATGATAATCAAGATAACTTATTTATAAAAGTAGGAAAAGTAGGAAAACAGCCGATGAATGTTATGATGATTTAAAAGAAAAAATTAATTGGAATGTTATGTCGAGGATAGCTGACACAAATTATTTGGGAAGAAGCTAAATGAGAAGACGACGAAGAAAAATCAGCAACAATCGAATATTTATATATTTGTAATTATGTAAAATAGAATATAAATATTAGTATTATAGTATAAACATAGTAAAAACGTCCAAGAATTTGAAACAAATATCATATATGAACATTTTTTTTTTGGTTGTGAGTGGAACGAAAAATCTTATATTTTTACAAAGATGTTAATTATTTTTTTTTTCTTATCTGTAAATTATTACAAGAAGACTTGATATGATTTATAATGACAGCAATTTTTCCAAATGGAAATATTACCGGGGAGATACTTTTTTTTTTACCTTTCTAATGAGTTTCTAAACAAATATGAATAAAAAAGGAGGAAAAACGTTGAAAACGTTGAATAAACCGGAAAATCAATACATCAAACAAACATTATTTAAAATTAAAATTAATGCCTATTTAATATTTTTACTATTTTATGACAATTTCAGTGGGTTTCTGGAGTGATGCATATTAAATATTTTTCAATTTTTTTTTCCAAATCGACGTCCCCATTGAAGAAAAACCTAATAAAT